CCCCCCCCCCCTCCTACGCTTAGAAGGGAGAAAAATTAGCTGCCAGAGGGAGACTAAACGGGGAGTCCGCTACCGCAATCGAAACGCAGCACAACACTGAATTTCTTCAAAAATTCTAAAAGATTAAAAATGTGTGCCTCAAAAGAAATGAACTAACAAGGGCGAGTGCTGAGAATAGTCAGGTAAACGAACGCTATCTGCTATTTAAATACTGATCATTAATCAGAAGAATCGACCAATATAAATCACCAAACTAACCAGTTTCTCGCGTTCCTTAATCGTTTGATAAAGTTGCTTGTCTCCTATACTAATCTTCTTTTTCTTCTGCAGCCATGGTTGAATTGATGCGTACTGTGCATAAAATAGGTTCAAGTCTGGAACTAAGTCCTGAAATTAGACCAGACGTTTGTAAACTGTAATCTGCCCGATAAAATGCAATGGATTTAAGAAAGGTACTAAGTGATAGGCCCTTCGTGACAGATATTCTTTCCCACTCTTGGAAACATTTGCTGGGAGCCCACAGGTGTAAAGAAAACATTCATTAACACCTAACGAAATACTACGATAGCCAAAATCCAGATTAACTAACCTTTACTACGTACATATGTGGTAAGGGATAGATTTTGGTCGTTTTGCTAGTATCGGTGTCAATGTTGCGAATACAAGCCAATGTATTTTGTCCTCCTACATTCATGGCGCAAGATCCACAAATACCTTCAACAACTCTACTGAAACACGAACAAATCTTTGGTCGGAAACTCAGGCTGTCTTACCCTCACGACATGACCGTCGAAAAGTCAGAGTTGGATCAACTTCATTTTTGATTTTAATTAAAGCATCTAAGACCATAGTACCGCACTGATCCAAATCAACGTCGAATTTCTAAATATAAATAGTAAGAACAAAGCGGTAAACGGTTTTTCATAAAAAAACTATCAAAAAACATCTTCAAGGTCAAAAATAAAAAAAAATTTTATAGTTCAAAAACCTGAAGATGCGGTTTTGTTTCCGGCTTCTCAGGATTAAACCGATAAATTTCGAAAGTTTTTATGCGTTTGCCAGCAGGAGCTCCAGATGCTGCCGCTGATGCACAGCGTCCAGCATTACTGATGACTACAAGTGAACGGCAGAGAGAAGCTGAGTTTCGAAGCATCTTCTCTAAACAATTTTATTTTCTCGGAAAAAACGTCTAGTTTCCATTATAAAGTACATTGCACACATAAGTAACACTGAAAAATCCTTATTATAATATTTTTGAAAAGAAAACCCTTAAAAAAACACTACGTAAAAGCAACATGATTGATTAACCTTGACTACTCCTCCTGATATTGAACCGAGAAGAAAGGAAAAATGCAAATAATGCAAACACTAGCAACAGCAAGATACTAGAAAAGCAAAAATACTCCACAAAGGTCGTTAATAATGAAAAGGAAAAAGCTAACCTACCACTTTCCTGAGAAATGTCTAACTACCTATATGACGGTTACAAGACTAACATTGATTATTTTCAGTTATTGCACCTTCCGAAGTCCCATGAAAAGAAAAAAAAGAAGGAAAAACAGCAACAATAGCGGTGAAAATATCTTAACACCGAATAAACAAAGTGCACTAACTTCAGTCTGACAGAACGCACTTCAAGTGCAGTGGATGTTAAAGTTAATTATAACTTCAGTGAAACCAACCAGATGATAAGCAATACAGCAGTGCGAAGTGAGCAAACTCAAAAGTAGCTCACTGTGCTGGAGTGTGTCAGAATTAAGCAAAACGCACGTCAAAAGTGCTACAGTATGCCAAAGAGACAGCAATTTTGATGTGCATGGTTGCTGATTCAAACCTAGGTGCTTGTTCCAGTTGCAGGAGTACCGCTGCCGCTCGATTCTCTGTTCAGCTGGCACAATTTCCGGTGGATTCTGCTGCTTTTTTTTTTCTGTTTCTTATGTTGGTGCATACGTGCTTTAGGGGGCTTGTGTGACTGCTGACTAAATCAGCTGCTGTCAGCCCAAACAAGCAGCAGTTGCAGTAAAAGAGTGACAGTTATTTTTTGGAGAAATAGTAACGTTTGTACCGTTCCGGAATTCTGACTCAAAACTAACCGGCCATAAACAACTGGACCTCATTAACAGGTCATGTAAATTTTTTTGACCTCAGTTACTTTTTTGTGCCCAAACCTTATTGCTAAAGTGCTAAAAGAATCTCTTAAGCAGATTTTGCAACTTTATTTCAATGAAGTGTTCATTGGTATACAGGAAGGAACAGTATGTCGTTTTTCAGCTTTCATTTATTTATCATTGTTATTGTTATTACCATCAATTACATTTTATCTTTAGGAAGTGGAATTTGGGTGTTTATTTATTTGTAACTACTGGATGGTACGGGTTATGACGGAAATATTTTTTCAGGTTGCTGCTTTTGCGGCAGTACTATCATTCATCTGCAATGAAGCTCAGATCTTCTTGTGAGATAGGAGAAATTTTAACAGTTTTGGTAGCAGTTTCCACATTAGTTGGCTCAGAAGAACATGCCGACGAATGGGATCTTGACCGTCCTTGCCAGCCCTACATCAAGGTTAATGACGATTAAGTTGTTAAGAGGAATGATCGTTTAAGTGACACTGCGTTTAAGTGGTGCATTTTTTTTCGCTGAATACTTTTTAAATGCTAGTTTTCGCATTTTAAAACGGCATTACACTTTCAGGACTTTGCTAAGTTGGAAGCAGAAATGGTAGATTGTGCTGGACAGTTTTCTTCTCCTCCGAAGGTTTGTACAAACTGCGTTGAAAAATACATTGCTATGAAGCAAATGGAGTACGACCTGCACCACCTGGTTG